TGCAAAGTTGGCAATTATTAGCTTTGAATGCAGCCTCCTTCCTTTTCCCCCTGCCTGGGGTCCTGATCCTCCTCGGGGGTGCAGAGTTACTCCCTGGCAGTGTCAGTGCTGGCATTCAGCTGTCAGTGCCTCGAGGACAGTGGTTTTACAACGGGATTTAGAAGGAATGTTTGGATTTCGCCGAGGTTTGGAAGGGAGGAGTTTGCCCCGAGGTGCCCTTGGGTCCTCAGCACCGGGATTTTCACTCCCCCGGGGTTTCAAAGGTGAGGGAGGAATTCCTGCTGCCAGAAGTGTGTGCTTGGTGTTCCAGAGGGAGGGAATCAGAGCCTTCCCCAGGGAAGGGGGGCAGGTTTGATCCCCGGGTGAGGAGAGGTGCTCTCCAGCTCCCAGGCCAGCGCTGACCCAGGGGAAGGGGAGGAAGGAGGAGGGACCCCATCAAACTGACAGAGGAGAGGTTTAACTTGGATATTTGGGAAGAAACTCCTCCCTGGGAGGGTGGGGAGGCCCTGGCACGGGTGAGCAAGAGAAGCTGTGGCTGCCTCATCCCTGGAAGTGTTCGAGCCCAGCTTGGATGAAAGGAGCAACCTGGGATAGTGGAAGCTGTCCCTGCCCATGGCAGGGGTGTGGGACTGGGTGACCTTTAAGGTCCTTCCAACCCAAACCTGGGTTCTGGGATTTTTTGGGTTCCAGGATTCCATGTTTTCCATGATCTTTCCCCTTTTTTTTGTGGTAGTAATAACCCAGAAATGCTGTCCCATGAGTGACCATCAAAGCTGACCCCAGGCCAGCTCTCCAGCAGGGGAGAACCTCCTCTTCTCACAGGGAAAAACAAGTTGTTCCCTTCCTTCCAAGGCTTTTCCAGGACAGGAATTAGAGCCCCGGTGGGTGACTCTGGCTCTGCTGCTCTCCAAGAGGCCCCTGCAGAGCCTGGAGCTTTGCTGGCAGCAAAAGTTTGCCCCCCATCTCCTCCCAGAGGTGTTACCTGGGTGGCACCTGGTTTGTGTGAGGTGGGGGGCAAAGGGAAACAGCTCCATCCCAAAAACCCAGGGGTTTGCTGAGCTCCTGCTGAGAAATCCCCTCCAGTGATGCTCCTGCTTTACAGCAAGGATGGAAACTCAGGAGATGCCTCAATGTCATCAGGATTTCAAGCAGAAATTATCTGGAACTGCAAAAAAACCCAACAACCTCACCCCGAGTTCTCTTTCACCAAGTTCTTCTTCACACTCCCATTTATTCCTTGTTAAAACTTTATTAATAATCAGGCTTTGAGCTTGTCCTAAACTCCTGGCCTAAGCCATGGGCACAGCAGAGCTTGGCTTTGCTCTGGGAGGTGACCCAGGGGAGTGTCACAGGATCCTGGAATGCTCTGGGTTGGGAAGGACCTTAAAGCTCATCCAGTTCCACGGGCAGGGACACCTCCCACTACTCCAGGTTGCTCCAACCTGGCCTTGGACACTTCCAGGGATCCAGGGGCAGCCACAGCTTCTCTGGGCAACCTGTGCCAGGGCCACCCCACCCTCCTAGGGAGGAATTCCTTCCCAATATCCCATCTATCCCTGCCCTCTGGCAGTGGGAAGCCATTCCCTATATCCTGCCCCTCCATCCCTTGTCCTAATCCCTCTCCAGCTCTCCTGGAGTCCCTTCAGGCCCTGGAAGGGGCTCTCAGATCTCCCTGGAGCCTTCTCTTCTCCTTGGACACTTCCAGGGATGGGGCAGCCACAGCTTCTCTGCCCAACCTGTGCCAGGGCCTGCCCACCCTCCCAGCCAGGAATTCCTTCCCAACATCCCATCTATCCCTGCCCTCTGGAATGGGCATTCCATCCTTCCTTTTAGCACTGGCTCTGGTTATTCCCACACAGGGAGAGCTCTGCCTCCCATCCCAGTGTTATCCCTGGGAAGCAGCACAAAGTGGCTGCTGCTTTCCCGTCTCTCCAACATCACCTTGGCATCCCGGGAATACTCTTTCCATCGCCGTGGCACGGAGCCAAGCCCTGATCCTGGGAAAAATAACCTGTAACAGAACCCTCTGCGTGGTTGCCAAAGGGTTTCAGAGCAGCCCAGGATGCGAGCTGGAGAAATGAGAATTAATTTCTCTCGGCGCTTTCCTTGCCTTGTGGAATTTCAGGATTCACAGGGAATGGGAAAGGAAACTGGAAGGAGAACAAGGGAGCAGAACCAACCCTGTGTGTGACTGGGTTTGCTTGGGCTGGGGGTGGGTTTGGGGTGGGGAGGGGGGTTCAGGTGCTTTTATTTTCCCTCTGGGAATGAGGAGGCCCCGAAATGAAAGGAATGATGGTGAATTCCAAGGGAAACAGGGGAATGTTTCCCTGCTGGAAGCCCAGTTTGGAGCTCAGTTCGGAACTGGGGACTCTGTGGACTTTGCAGGATGTTCTGCTCCGAGGATAACGGGAACATCAGCGGGAACACGGAGTAGGAAGCGTGAGAGATCAAAATCTTCGTGTCTGCAAAAAAAAATAAATAATAAAAATAAATGTTCAGCTCATTTGTGGATCTCTGGGCTGTCTGCTTGGAGGAAAAACCCTTCAGCCTCACACCTTCCCCTCAAACCTCGGAGGGGAAACACGGAACAGCGGGATCTCCTGTGCCAGAGCCATTCCCGAGGACCTGGAGGATGAAAAACAAGGGATGAGTAACCACAGGCTCCTCCCTTCAACCCTCCTGCTCCGTCCCAGGAGCCACAGGTTGCTCAGGGAGGAGGTTTTTTGGCAGCAAAAGCAGCTGTGGATGCACCATCCCAGGGCCTCCCAGGGGCTCTTGGTTTGCTCCAAAGTCTCAGTTCCAAGAAACTCTTCCCTGACACGTCTGGGGGGGCTCGGGAGGGGTTTTAGGGGAGGTTTGTGGGGGTGATAAGAAGGTTTGGGGGGAGTTTTGAATAGTTTTGGGGGGCTCAGGGGGGTTTTTGGGGTGTTGGAGGGGTCTGAGAGGAGTTGAAGGGAGTTTTAAGGGGGTCATGGAAGGTTTGGGGGGCTTTAGGAGAGGTTTTGGGAGGGGATTTTGGGGGGGTTGGGGAGGGTTGGGGGGGGGTTAGGGGGGGCAGGGGGGGTTTTGGGGAAGGTTTAAGGGAGTTTTGGTTGAGTTTAAGGAGAGTTTGGGGATTTTTAGTGGAGGTTGGAGGATTTAGGAGCTGCTGCCTCAGGGGAGTTTTAAGGGGGTTTTGCTTGAATTCAAGGAGGGTTTGGGGATTTTTTGGGGGGGGGCTTGGGATGTTTAGGAGCTGCTGCCTCGGGGGATCCCAGCATGGCTTTGTGGAGGGATGGGGCTGTTCCCACAGGGCAGGAGACAGGAATCATCCAGAGGGTCTGAGCTCCTCAGGTTTTCCAAGGCATGGCATTATCTGCCTCAGGGATGGAGGGGCAAAGCTGGCACCCAACTGACCCCTCCCTGCCAGTGCCTTGATGCCCCCGGGGTTTATTTTCCATTGTCTGCAGGGCCCCCTCAGCAGCCTCCAGATCCACCCCCAGCCCCAAAACCCGGAGCTCGGGAAGGGCTGAGGAATTCCAGCATTGGAGAGAAGTTTGGGGTAAAATCAGGGAGTTTCAGGAGGGAAGCAGGGCCCGGGGTCGGGCTGGAATTCCATCTGATAAAGCTGCAGCAGGCAAACAATAAGAACAGGGAGTTTTTAGAGGGAGGAAGCTGCAACCCCCCCCCCTTTCCTCATCCCCCTGGCCATCTGCATTCCTTCCCTGGAACCAGGAGAGGAGATTTCGCTGTTCTCCAACCTCAGGAGATCCAAGAGGGGAGAATTTATCAAGTTCCATCGTAGGCACTTAATCTTGTGGTGCCGTGGAAGAGGCAGAGTGGCAGCTGGGCCTGGAGACTGTTGGATATCGGCACCTACGGGAGGAAATCCAGGATAACTCAACCCCTTATTTGTCATTGTCTCGCCCCTGGAGCAGAAACAATTGTGGATAATCGGTATCTTCGTGTTAAATCTCGGTGATTTATGTGCTTTTAGCCACGACAGGCCGATTGTGCAGGTCATGTGCTGTTCATGTACACAGCCAGAGGGGGTTTCACGGGATGTGCGTGCCGGGTGTTTATTCCCGGTGAAAAAGGCAAGAAGTGGTTGGATTAACAGCTGTCAGGAGTGAGGGAGGAGCAGCTAATCCTGCCAGGGATGGTGTCAGTCCCGGCTCTGCTTTCCCTGATGGTATCTCAGCCCCTGTTATAAACTTTTAAGTGCAGGTTGGCAGCTGGAATCGAGGGCAGGACGTGACTTTGAGGCTCATCCCGGTCCTGGAGCGAGGATTCAATGGTCCATCCCGGCCCTGGAGTGGTGGATAATTATAACAGGGGTGGAAAATGCTTATAAAGGTTCAATTAGTGAGTTGAACTGATGGAACCAAGGCCACAAAGGTGAGAGTGGAAGGGAGAGCAGGGGTCTAATTTCTTTGATAGGATAATTCAGCCCTGACAGGATTTGGTGACTGGAACAAGGACTTGGTGACTGGAAAATGCACCTTTCAGGGGCAGAGTTGCACTGAAAAAGTGAAGTGTCCACTTTGTCTCTGTTAAAAGGAACGGGGATGAGGACTGGGACAGGAACAGGAATGGGGACAGGGATGGAGATGGGGACAGGGACCGGGATAGGGATCAGGACAGGGACTGGGACTGGGATCAGGACAGGGACTGGGACTGGGATCAGGACCGAGATCAGGACTAGGACAGGGACAGTGACAGGGACCAGGACTGGGATCAGGACAGGGACAGTGACAGGGATTGGGACAGGGATGAGGACCAGTACAGTGACAGGGATA